AGGCTCTGTCAGTCAGCTTTTCATTTACTATTATGACATAAAGAGAAACTCCGACTTTAACTATACATATTATTTCCTTGCAGCAGTGCTACAGCTCATGCAGCAAACTCCCACTATTGTGTTTCACTGTCGGCAGTGTACAGTCACTGTGGTAGTTCTGACCAGGAGGACATCAGTCATCAATAAATTCTTTTTCTTTTTCATCATCCAATATTTATTAGAGTCCTTTCGTCTTTCATCTTGTAGTTTTGTAAGTGTGTTGTGAGCAAAGGTTTCCTTCTTGGACACCCTCCATCCATGAAGGCTGGCTTCAAGCAATGTCTGTCGGACTGTCTGAGCATCATTGGTTTCCATAGATAATCTTTTTGCCAAGTCAGTGGGACTGATAGTCTTTTTTTCAGTGCAAGGTCGAGTGGTGCACACTTTAATTGTTTTTGTCATTTTATTGTTTATCACACAATTAATCTAAATTGGGATAACATGCGTACTTCTCACATTTTTTGGGACTTTGACCAGGGTCCGTTTTGTACATTGTATATCTTTTTAAGATGCCTTTGCCAGTCACTCATGGTGTACTGGCTTCACTGACCCTGTCATTTCGTGCTGACCTGAGACATATCCATGCAAGGAAATGTAATCACAAGCAAAGTTTTCCCACTCACGCTTTTGGTCAAGTCTACTGTGCCCACACACTTGATTAGCAGTGACATTCTGAGCTTTATCTTCACAATAAAATCACAGTCTCAGCCTTGGACTTGGGGTGTTGATGACAGGCCAAGTGTCAGAGTGGAGCTCCACAATGTGCGTCATTAAACTGTCTGCCTACTTGCTGCTGCACTGACGGGTAGTCAGATACCTCTGAAAGGTGATGAGTGCTGTGTTCAGGATATGATGTTTCCTGTACTATACATAATACCCACAACATGCTTTCATAATCACAATAAGGCGATGGGTTGCCTTTTTTTTCACACTGATTGGATATTGACGTGGAATTGATTTTGTTTCCCCAGAGAGCAAAAAAATATTCTGCATGACTCTCAGGTCAATAGACGCTTTGATAGGACTGGAAATGAAAATCAAATAAGGAACTATTGTTTACTCCACTCTGCTTTTTTTTTTAGTTAATCTGCAGTGTGGTCCCCAGGCAGTCTGATCTGAATGAACAACACACAAGACTAAATCTTTAGCTTTGGCATTGTTCTCGCATAGCATGCCTTAGAATGAGCATAAACCAAAAGGGATTCAGTAATTGTACAAGGTAAATTTAGTTACTGGCTGTCATAAAATACAAGTGCTACTGTTGTTGTAGTTTGATAAAACATTTGTCTTTGTTTCTAATTCCATTATATTCCCATTGTGATGAATTACACTTTATTGTCGACTGCTGTTTCGCAGTGCGTGGAAATGTCTGTCAACACAAACCATGTTTATTCAAAGATGGATGAGGATTTCTTTAGGCCGTTTTCCCCTGCAGGAACTACAGATCCTTTAAGGTGTAATCCAATCCCTTGAGTGCATTCTGACCAAAGGAAGCGCTCCTGTAGAACCTCTTTTGGGGTCGTTTTCAGGGGAGAAGAAAGTATCTACCCTGGGATTGGTACCTCTGAGCAGCCCTGAAAAACTAATTAATTTTACATTATATAGAATTATGAAATCCAGTCATTTAGTTGTGTCATGTGCCTGCTAAGCATGTCAGCATTTATTCCCTGTACTTTTCAAATGGTCTTTGGATCATTTCTATGACAATACAATATACAGCAGTGTGTGTGATCAGACTGGACACTTCCACTGTCTTTGGCATTGTATCAGTATTGATTTAAGTATTTTTATTTCATTTTATTTTCTTTTATTTTATTGCTTTGTCCACACTCTCTATGTAAAACCGAGTTAAGCAGTAATTTTTTGTGTCACTGGGCAGAAATTCCACATTAACCTTTCAGCATATTGTAATCAAAACTATCTGAGTGGAAACTAGACTTCTGCACCTCCTCTTTGCTCTGTTTTCCGGCTTTTAAAAAGTCTATGCAGTGACAAGAGACTTTGGATAATCCCATGTGTTTTCAAAGGGAGCACATTGTTCCTATTGGCTGTTGTAAAGCTGTTGGTTGCACATTCCTTCAGATGGTGGAAAGCTCAATTTGGTGACAGAAAATCCTGCTGCTAAACTTATTGTTCCATCATTGTCTACACTGCAAATTGGTAATAATAAAAGAAAACAACAACTATGTGTGTAGTGTCTTCTGTTGTCTGTGTGCACATCCATAAGGAAGCAGAATCAAGACATTGGGGGAGAATTTTTACCTGTTGTGGTTTTGCAGTGAAAATATATTTTCCCTATGGACCACATATAAAAGAGAGGTCTGTACAAATGATGACAAGATACCTCTAACTGTAAACAAAGTCTGTTTTTTAATCATTCTATATCTATTTTTTTCAATCCACTGGTCCACATTTGTAAAAGCCTTTACTTCTGTTATGTCATTGGAATGTAAAGACTGCAGGCTGAGCACAGTGCAGTAGGGAGAAAACATTTCTGGCTCATGTCCAGTATCTAACTCTCCTCAACACATCCATGGTGCAGACTCTCACTCCACTCAGCAGCTTGTTAATTGACACATACTGCAGGAGAGGCCAGTTCAAGTGGAACCGCAGAGTTTCAGACTGGTGGAGCTTTTTAACTGAACGAAAATTCTAATTTATCTTTACAAAACTAAATTGTTGATAGTAAACCCACATCAACCTCAGATTCACTGATTAGTGACACTTTATTGCTTTAAGAATATTGAATTTAGCTAAACAGAGGGTGATATGGGGTTATATCACTTATCAAAAGGTTTTTTTACAGTTATGTTCAGGCTTGTCCACCAGTAGTTACTGTAACATTAGCATCAACATATACATGATTACTATACTTAAAGGCATCTGTAGCAACAAAGCAGTGATAAATAACGAGGGAGCACAGACAGTCTATTCTGCATTGCAAGTAATTCAGTTCAGCCAGGTCTGCAGTAACAGCAGGGCAGAGATATGTATTTGTAGACGGCTAATTACAGCTAACAAAAACTGAAATGACACATTAGATGACCGGGCGGATGGATGTCATAGATAAGGGAGAAACCAACTCACAATAACGTAAATGTGCAGGAATTTTTTACACAACAACAAGAGACAGTAAAGGCTGGTTAGTTTGATGAGGATTTGCAAAATCTGGTGCTTGCATCAATTACTCCTTGTTTCAATAATCTCCAAAAGTCCAAAAGAACATTTCAGATATCCACATTTGTCATTTCAGGACAAATGATGTCATTCATGAGTATACAGATATCTACTATTCAGGTTTCATGTGTTCTATGGATTTCTGCAGCTGAGTTATGACTGAGCTGAACTCCAGTGTCAGATACAGTTTTATTCTGAGAGCACTGTCACCTCACAGCTAGCAGACCCCCGGTTCGTGTCCCTGGGTGGAGTTTGCAGGTTCTCCCTGTGCCTGTTGAATAGAGAATAGATGAATGGATATCAGCAGTGTTACACTGCTGACCTGACATCTGAAATATGAAGAAGTCAGGATGACATTGCACATCTAAAATCCTGCCAGGTCAAAATGTAATGAATGACATCTTGAATCAGGGTTTTGAAAGGTCTTGGCGGATATTTGTACTTACATCAGAAGCTACAGCAAGTGGAAGGCAGGGACGAGCTGCTTCTCAAACATACTATGGCTGCAACCATAACTGCATATGACAAGGTGACATGTCAGAGCAGCCTGAGGTGCTGTTTCTCCACAAACTCCTTGCTATGAACTCTTTCTATCTCTCAGCATTTTATCATTTTTTTTCCACCAAGGAGGAGACCTAACACTGTTGAAATGCATTGCTGGACCAATATCCAGTGAGAAGTCTTGTGTCATGCAGAACAATCAGAAACAGTCAAACCGTCGTTTGAGACGTGGGAACTATAATTTGGACTACTTCAATCTAAATAACACAAAGCCTGTCTCTAAACTGACTCGTTAGAATAATGTCATAGGTATCCGGAATAATAATTCTGACAGTGTAACTAGTCATAATGACATTGCTGATATATATTTTTTATTCCAGACAGTCAAACTTACCAAATAAATGTTAAAAAGTTAAAAGAACGTGCCATATGTTGATAATGTGTCTCCTGTGACTTCTTCTCAGTAAAAGCCACTTGAACCTTTGCCAGTTAAAGACTTTTGAAGAATGGGAGTAGTGATTTAATAAAACTGTGATATGGTGCAAAGAAAGGGACTAATAAACACTGACTGGCCTGAATGAGAGCGAAGTTTGGTGGATGTTTGTCTGTAAACAGACCTGCCCAGGTCAGTCATGTAGAGTCAGTGGAGAGAGATGTACACATTCTAAAAGTATTGGTGAGAATTGCACCAAATGTTCATAAAAAATGGTATCAAAACTGGGTTTAAAATGTTAAATAACTTTCAAATGAGATATTGCTTGCTCTCGTGTTTTATCAGGCACACGGTGTCCCAATAAACGGCCTGCGTGATACATGATAATAAGCTGCATGATTACTTGTGGACTCAAGTGTCCACACCTCTCCTCATCTCATATACACTTACAGCAGCATGATGACCCTGCTATCTCCCCCGCTGTGTCCCCCTCCTGCCCGGGCCGTGCAGCAGGCGGCGGGCTGCTCTTCCTTTTATGGTGTCGCTTCCTTCTCAGCAGCCTCACTTGGATGAGGAGAGCCGAGCAGAGCGCAGAGCTCCACTCCTCCTCCATCCTCCATCCTCCAGCTGCGCTCTGCACCGAGCCTGCAGCTCTCAAGAACATCTCGTTTTTTTTCTGAACTCAATTTCAAAACGAAGACAAATATGAGATAATTAAAGTCGTGTCTCGCTGGATGCGGATGATCTTTGTTGTGCCGTCTCCCGGTGGTTTTCTCTCTTGTCTGTTTCCCTCGCCGATCAGTCTGTGGAATGGTCTGCGTTTTCTCCCCTGAGTCGTGTCCACTTCAGCATGGGAACTGCGGTGTCCAAAAGGAAGAATCTGAGGAGTGATGCGATTTCTTCTGTGGCCGCAAAAGTTCGGTGAGTGTGGCCGCTGGCTGTGCGCTCTGCAGCCGAGCGGAGCGCAGCGCGGAGCGTCTGCTGCCCTCAAACTGACACATGGTTGTATGTTTAGACTAGTTAAAGTTGGGTGAGCATTTATCAGAGGTAGCTATCCACAGACAAAAATAGCAGTAAACTAATACATTCTGATGTGCTCTTAATCCCACAAGCAGTTCAAACTGCTGCTCTGCTCCGGTTAAGTTTGGCTCTTTTGGAAGTTTCACTTCGGGTCCTTGCTTTTATTCTGTTGTTTACTTATTTTATCTCAGAAGAAACCAATCTTTTTAACTAAACTGTGAGGATAAATGCATGTCTGCCCTGAATATACATGTTTTGGCTGCTTTTGCACTATTCATATTTCGGTAGCCTTTGTTAAACTCGTTTTTTGGGATTAACGTGCACATCTGTATTCTACATTTAGTGTAGAACTGTGTCTGTGTACAGTTCTAATGATGAACTCAATGGAATGCAAACATCCTGAGCAGGTTCACTTCAATGTAGCTCTGTAAAGATAAGTTCATAAAACAAGTTTCTGGCTATTTGGAAAGATTTTGCTTGCAGTGTGGTTTCTTCCAAACTTCCATTTGGGTTATTTTAGTCCATGTATTTTTTCTCGTTATGACCCTAATATAAAGATGTTCCTGTAAAAATGCTTTGGACAGCAGCATGTATATATTTATGACCTGGCAAACACTGAGCTGCAGTTCCGTTGTTCTGTGTCTGCTTTTCTGTGGTTGATGATTGAAAACCGAACATATTGTTGCTGTCAGACATGAGAGATCTTCAAATATAATATTTAAGAAACTGGGCAAGTCTAATGGATACTTTTAAGTAATTCATGACATTATGTGGGCAAAACAATGAAATTATTTTATTCATCGACAGTGAAAGTAATTAATTTAAACTGGTTTCTTCTATTACTGCTCGACTATGCACCATTAAAACATTGTCCTTTGTCAGAATTTCATGCCATCTTATTTGGGTTTGTTTATCTTACTTGTTATACTCATCCTTCTACATAAAGAAGGTACATCTGAAATGCTGTGAACTGCACGATGTATAATTAGGACAAAAAATAGAAATAAAAACGTATGGTAGTAGTAAGCTGTATCTACAATATGCAGCCTTTGCTTTGGTGACATGGTCGTCCTTAAGCTTTCCCGCTGGGTTCACTGGACTTATGACTAATTCTAGTGACATTTAGCTTCTAGTGTGTGAGTCAAGCCAAAGATCTTTGTGTCATGGGTGTCAGATCACTTTGTTCTTGGTCTGAGGGCTGCAGGATGACTAATGTTTAGTGGTAGGAGATTGCACCCCAGTCGCCCACTTACTGACCTCAGAAGCAGACGAATGGAGCGCTTCTGTTCTTCGTTGTGTGTGCATTCATAGCAACTTTTTTCATAAAGTGCAGGAACATGTGCACAGCTTCCCTGCAGTAAAGAAAGCCTAAACACACAGCACGTGACCCTTCCATCCACTTCCACATTCTCTCCCATGCTCCGTTTTGCACACATTCTCCTAGTGTATTTATCTCCGTCTTCCTTTTACTGTTTATCTGTTTATCACCTCCCTCTCCGCCTCGCTTGCCTTCTCACACCTCATGCTTAACTCTCCATAAATCACGCTGATTTCAGCCAGCGTCTTAGGCACGCACATGGATCACAGCCAAGGCTCAAACAGGACATACTTCCCGCTCTGTCAGTGTCATTGAGCCGCACTCTAGTTGACGAGGAGTTTAATGGCTCTTAGCGAACAACAGCTCTTTCCCCTGAATCTAACATGAGCTGGGATTAGCACTGTCTCGAGTCTACTGGATGATCTGAGTTTATCTGCTGTGCCGTGAAAAGCAGGGGAAAGCGTTCACCTTTCCGTTTAACAAATCCAATCCCACATCTTTGTTTTTCGGTGAGTGTGAAAAGCAATGCAGTGGAGGGATTATAGTGGAACTAAGTGGGTTTAATAGGATCATCTTCTTCCAGCACTCTCCCTTTGACCTCACACATCTGTCTCTTGAAGTACCAGTTCTTCTCACTGTTTTGCCTTAACACAATGCAAAAATCGAAGTGACATAGGTTTGTGCTGAATGAGGTCGCGCTGGTCAGATCTTGTGGGCTGGAGTTAATGTCACTTACCTTTAACTATGCCATCAGCACAGCATCTGTTTAGAATGGTGATTGATCATTATAATGAAAACTGGGGGTACAACGGAAAAGATGGTTCGAGGGGTTTAAAATCTTTTTTTTTCCCCACATGAAGAGGGATGGAATTGGATAATCAGCTGGAAATAACTGTACAAACCATTGTTCCTTGCAGGTACTCTTATGGGTTGACCTACAGATTCAAATACTGCTTACAGTCTCCTCTATGGAATTGTTGCTGGTTGTTGCGTAAAGCTCTTCAACTTCAACACAGGGAAGCTTTAGGGGGAAGGAGTGTTGTTTGTTGTTCGAAGCAGCCTCTTTGGTTAAAGCACACTGGGTTTTTTAAGATCTCAAATGAACAATTGTAGGTTGGAATTAAAAATGACTGTAATCTTTACCGAACTGATGTAGACCGCTGGATCCCGGTGCCAGCTCTGACGGAATCCATCCATTATCTATACACCACGTAATCCTCACTAGGGTCGCTGTCTCAGGGATGCCCTGGCCAGGTTGTCAGGCTATCGCAGGGCTAGACAGAGAGACAACCAAGGACATTCACACCTATAGACAATTTAGAATCACCAGTTAACTTCAACATGTTTTTGGACTGTGGGGAAGAAGCCGGGGAACCCGGAGAGAACCCACGCTGCACGGTGAGAACATGCAAACTCCACGCAGAAAGATCTGAAAGTCAGAAGAGGGATGCAAACTGGAGATCTTCTAGCTGTGAGGCGACAGTGCTAACCACCGAGCCACCAGGGGGGCTGGAGTCTATCCCAGCCGAGTCAGGGTGAAGGCAGGGGACACCCTGGACAGGTCATCAATCAGGGCTACACTTAGAGACAGACAACCAAGCACACTCACATCCACATGTACGGACAATTTAGAATAACCAATTAACCTCAACATGTTTTTGGACCGTGTGGGAAGAAGCTGGAGAACCCGGAGAAAACCACACAGAAAGATCAGGGGATCTTTGAGCTGTGAGGTGACAGTGCTAACCACCGAGTCACTGTGCAGCCCTCTGATGAAATAAAAAATAGATCACATTGCATGACAGACCACCTTATAAATATGCGCTCTCTCAGCCTCCAAGAGACTGGGAATAGGCAACTATGAGGAAGACGAACAGTCATTTAGCTAATGATACCTAATGAAGGGTTTCTTGCACAATGCCACATGCCACGAATTAGGTCATTATTGAAAAATGTTCCTCCTCAGGACATTACAGTCAAACCCTACTTGATACCCTGATGCTGGGTGACAATTCACGCTACCAAACTTTTGTTTGTGCTGATGTTCTGATAGGCTTTCTTCAGTCATGGAGACTGCAGGTTTTGTCACTGGAGACTGCTGTTTGGTCTCTGGGTTTTAGCTGTAGACGCAACTCTTGTCACCACTGATGATCCTTAACATTAAAGTTGGATCACAGAATTTGATAAGCGTACTAGGAGGTGGTCAGAGTGGTTCTTACTGAGAGTGTTCCAGATGTGGCAGATCTGGAAGCAGGTTATCACTGCACAGGGTGGATACTTCGAGGGGATGGTAACTAAATTTGAATCAGATGCTGTTTGAGCTTTTTATAGTCCAGAGGGTTCTTTATCACACCTCATATTAGTCAGACAGAAAATCTAATAAAGAATAATTTGAGCTCGCCTACGAATGTAAGTTGTTGACTTTTAAGTGAAAAAGACAGAAAAATAGACCAATATAAATGGAAAGTAGACAGAGTATTTTGGCTGGTTTATGCAAATAAACCATATACAGTTAATAGTATGGTTTACTGCATATACTAGGTGTATAGCTAATCAGGTTTCCATACCTAATTATCCATGTGTGCTACCTGCACAAGCACCAGTAATTCACCATGTAGCAAAACAGTGATGTGTTTTATTTTAGGCATTGTTCAAAACAGCTACATATTCTCTGCATTTCTGCCCCTGTGACTTGTTAACTTTTACAAAATTCATTCTTTTTTTTCATTCCCCCCACTGTAATAGACTAATAGCTTACAAGCAATTTCTTCATTGTACTGTTAAGGTGAAAAAAAACACATGCGGCACATAGCGATTCAACAAATACGTGTCCCTATAGGTGGCAAGATAGGTAACAAACTGTTGCTGTTGTCTTGTTATCTTAAAATCCTGTTCACTGTTTGAATCAACGGGGTTTTGCTTTCAAACAGTGTAGAGTATTAGATGCCATTGGTGGCATTTGAACTATAGGAGCAGACTTTACTCTGGGCATTCCATATTATTTTTTAAGAGACAAACATAAAATCATACACTGACATTTTAAATCATTATTTCTGTCAAACCAAAGGTATATTCAGTTGTTGTCAGTGGTGTTGAATCATCTCCTCAGAAGTCGTCTACTCGACAGCAGTGGGTCCTCTGTCCTGAGAAAGCTGGGCGTTCTGCCTTGTTTGATTGTTTCCTCTCTCGTCTCTTTGCTGTTTTTGGTAGACTGAGTGAGTCTAGTTGGCAAACATGAGTTTGCTGTGAAGAGTTTGCTGTAAACACCTTGCAGGATTTGGAGGATTTTCGTTATTCGATTTGGAGCTCGGATGAATACCTCGGGCTGTTGCCATGTGATGTTGGGTTAACGTGTGGAAACAGTCAAATACGCAATTAATTATTTTCGGTGTAGTCACAAACCTTCCAATATAAAGACATTAGTTTCGTCTGCATGTGTAGCATCTTGTTGGCAGAGCTGGGTTTATCAGGAGAACGGGGAGGAAACTTTTCACTGAACAGAAATGGGATGGCAACAGGGACAATGTCAAAATAAATCTGCTTTTGAAATAGGCTGATTTAAAGTAGTAATCTCTTTTGCACT